TGTGTGCATGTCTGTGTCTGCGTGTCTGTGTGTCTGTATGTGTGTATTCTAAGTTTATGTACGTGTGTGTGTGTGTGTGCACGTGTGTGTGTGTGTGTGCACGTGTGTATGTGTACGTGTATGTGTGTGTGCTCGTGAGTATGTGTATGTGTATGTGTATGTGTGTGTGTGTCTGTATCCATTTACTTTGTATGTGTGTGTGTATCTGTATTCATTTACTTTGTATGTGTGTGTGTGTATGTGTGTGTGTATCCATTTACTTTTGAAACAATCAATGAAAAGTCAAGGATTGTTCAATAACTGCACTCATTCCGTCAATCGCAGGGCACATACCACATCAGGTTTAGGTGTCGTGAAGAAAGAGCTCAGCCAACCCTTTTTCTCCGAGCCTGCTTGATTAATCTTTGGTGGAGGGGGTGTATCTTGATGATTGTCTATTGTCACAGACTCGACCTCGTTTAAACGTGCCAGAGCGTTGGTAAGTCCTGTGACACTTATTTTTCTCTGTACACCTACTTTACTTGAGATGCCAGTGGCACTGGTTCTCCTCTGTACAGTGACACTACTTCGTCTCTGCACATTGGCTGACGTTGTTTTGTACGCATCCTCACCGATTGTGTCAATCTCTGGTACATTCTTCATCATGCTTGTGTGTCAACTATCGACCAGTATCATAGCTTATTTTTTCGTGCTAAAGAGTAAATACACTTCAACAACAGTCTATGACCGGGTTAGCTAAAATGAGAGTTTGCCGATATCTAAGGGCAGAATTTTATCTAAGCGTGCAGAATGTGCAGGGATGAATCTGCTCTACAACCTCTTGGGGAAGGGTGTAGCATGGTTGGTTTGGATGTAGGCCCTCTAGTACGTAGTCTATATTTATCCGCAATATGCGGTATTAATCCCACTCGATGTTCACCTTGCGCTTTTTGAACATTTTTGTGCGACAATAAACACTATAAACAATAGGATGATAACAAATCTGTTATAAGGGCCTAAGAATTAATTTCGGGATAAACTCAGTTTATTTTGTTGTAATTTTACTGGGTTAAAAGTGGTTTTATTTCTTGTATGTGTGTACGTCAGTTGTCAGAGTAAAGGAATTTTGTGACATTCCTAACTCCTGAGGCTTCTTTCATGCTTCATTTGTTTTAATGCTATTTTTTTTTTTAAAAGACAGGTGGAGCCTTGGAAGTTGGAGGCCGGACGGCGGACGAACTGCGGCGGAGGGTCACTGTTGCAGACTTGCAGTCACACGTGCAAATGAAGTGAATCTCTCAAATAATTTATATATATAAAAATAGAATCTCAAGATCCTGCAAGTTGCAGAATGCAGACTCTTCTTGCACACAGCCACTCTGAAGTTCTGAACTACAGTCACAGTGACCGTGTCACTGGTCACACACGCAAGAGAAAGGAGAAGAGTTCACAAATTCACAACTTCACAACACACAAGAGAAAATATAAATATTTTTAAATGAGGACTAATGAGAAAGCTGAAACCGGAAAGCAACCCTTTAGAAAAGAATAATCACAATTGAAAAAACGCACTCCCAAAGAACTACACTATCTGAATTCCGGAAGAGTGATAAGTTATATGATATGATGATATCAGATATTGTATACATAATGATATCGGATATTGTATACATAATGATATCGGATATTGTATACATAATGATATCGGATATTGTATACATAATAAAGCCAGCAGGCAAATACGATCACTTCGTGCCGTGGAGAGAAATACTTAATGATGCTGAAATATGTTACTCTCGCTGCTGTTGCCGCCGTTGGCGTGCTGGGAAATCCGACTTCTCTGTTGAATCAGGCCATGCCATCCCAGGTTAGTCCTTCACTGATTATTGCGAATCCCGAACTTAGCATATTTACCTGTTGGCGAGTGTGTGTGCTTTGAACAGTCCAGTGGCGAAAAATTCTTATATAAATAATGTATGTATCGTTAAAGTAGCATTTTGTGTACCTCTACGTTTCTGTAAAGAACGACTATGTTGATTGCTAATTTCATGACTATTCACCTTACCAGCCTAAAGATGGGAGCTGGCCTCCATCATTCTGCAACGGCATTGAGTGTCCCAAGTATGATGTCGAGAAGAAGGGCGACGGCTTTGAAATTCGGTTGTACGAGCCGACCCTTTTTGCAACTACCGAGGTGAAAGGAATGGATATGGAATTAGCAACGCGTACAGGTAAAGTTCTCGAAAACACATGACAAGTTGTAGTCCAACTCTGTATATTGCAACCACTTGTTTCTAGTCAGTGCAGCCCTGTGTTCTCGTTAGTATGTTGATGCGTAGATACGATAGACACCGATAGTTTCCCCTCACGTATACCAACGACCAGATAGCAAATCATTGCCATATATTGAAGTCTGATTTTGGCTCAATACTATGTTCATCTATTGAGAGATTCCGAAATTGAGCTGTACAACCAAAAGTAGTTTTTCTTTTCCAATCATTGTGTTCGTTTCCGATCTAATTTCTTCAGAAGGTACACTACAAATACACAGAGATTAGTTAACATTTGGATATA